GGAAAACATATTTTCTGCATGAAGTAACTGTTCTTTCTGCTTAAAAAGAAAAAAAAAATTTATCAGGGTCAATGCAGAATTTCAACAGAAATCCCAAATGTTTGATTTCCCTTGAGCACATTCATTAAGCATGTACAGGCAGATTTTCAAAAATACTCGCTTTCCAACAACTCCTATTAAAAATAATTAGACTTGCTGTATGCTAAACAAATTTAAAATCTAGCAGGAATTGGCTAGGAAGCAAAACCTTCATAAAAATAGCAGGCTTATGCCAGTGATCTCAACACTGCCACTTCTCTGCCTGCTGGCTTTCTGTTCCCTTATGTCAGTGCTACTGGAAACTTCTGTTAGATGAAGCAGACACTGTGAGCTGGTTTCTCATCTCAGTCATTCAGCACCTAATCCAGAGAAACTATGGAAAATCATGGAGTTATTTACCTTCATCATATTTACATTGATCTGACATATCTCAGAGGAATCGGAACCTGGCCCTCAAAACTCCACATGCCATGTGGAAGGAAAGTCACTTCTTCAACACCAACAGCACGTTCAGAAAGCGCCAAGAATCACAGTATATTAATAATATTTTCTTTGAGGCATTAAGAAGCTTGGAGCTAGATCCAAAAAAGCATAGAAGTGGCTTGGAAAAAATGTCTTGCACTTTCGCAGCCATCATATGTCATTCTGCAAGCGTGATTGATCCTACAGAAGATGAGCCAAAACAAAGTGAGGGATTTCCTTTGCAAAGAGGACAATAATATATATTTGCTATTAAAAGCAGGCAATAAAGATGGAAAGAAACGGTGAAAAAAAAAAAGGAGATAATGAAATATACTAATTCCTTGCAAAAGTTTGAAAATAAAATGAAATAATTGACCTCCATGATCAAGATTATCTCAATAAATCCTGGGTAAGGTTATCTGCTGGCAGCAGCTGTTGTTTCTAACTGAAGAAGCTAATTCAATAGATGACTTATTTAAGCCAAGAAAGTCCTCATCAAAACTTTTGCTTCATTCTAATTGAGCCTAGTATAAGTGAAGGAGGGGAGCGAAGAAGAAAAACTACACTTTAAATCGACACAACCATGGTTTTAGAAAAAGTCCTGAATTACCCCTACATTCCACAATCAGGCCTTTACTACCTCTTCTGCCTGAATTTAAAAGAATACCTCAGTTTACCCGACCCTTCTTAGAGTGTCACCCAGCGCATGTTCCAAAGAGTAGTCCAGCTAAGGACTGGGGGTCCTGAGGGTAACAAGCACCGGAAATGGAAAAAGGAGGAAGAGAGTAAACAATCAAAAATATGATTAGAAGCAATAACCAAGAAGATTCCAGATCAAATTCAGGTGTAAATAAATAACAGAGAGGCCATCAATGACAGTAACAATGAACGGTAGCAACAGGACAAGAATGAAGTCTGTCCTGTGTTTGAGATGCTAGTCTGAAATGCAGGAGCCTTGCATTCAGTTCTCATCTGCACCATAGACCTTCTTTGTGACCCTAGCCAATGTGCTGTATCTCCCTGTTCTTGGGGAAATGGGAGTATAAGCATCTCCTCGCATCACAAGCTGGCTGTGAAGGTAAGTGTATTGCAAAATGCAATGCAGGTACAAGGATAATGGGGGCCATTATCAACTTGTAAGTAATGAACTAGGTAGTGATAGGCTGAAAAATCCAACATGAAGAGTAAAACAACTGGTAACTTAAGGGGAAAAAAAAAAAAGACAAAATTAATTCCCTACAAATCAGTAGGTTGATACTTCTATCAGGTAATGCTTGGAAGGATCAGCTACATCTTTCATGTTATGAATACAAGATGATTATGAGAGAACAAACTACAGCAGCATTACCAGTCACCATCCGCTCTTAGCTAGGCTTAACAGCTAACATAAAACATATTAGTCAAGAGCTGCTTCATCCGACCATGATACATTTAGAACTCCTTTTGCCCTGGTGTTACAGGTCTTGCTACCTCCATGGTGGGTTAAGCTAACTAATGGATTCTGCCTCGCATCAGAGCGATGTGATGGGAGTGGTTTAATAAATGCATTGAATCAATCACATCGATTAAGCTAACGAATGTGTAATTTAAGTGCTGTAACTATCTATACCCTAATACACAAACTTCCCATAAGGTTTTACTTGGAATCATGTACACCTATAAAGGCCTGTGCATATGCCATATATATGTAAATGTGCATATGTATACATAAATAGAAGACTCCATTTGTATGACTTAAATTTAACCTGCAAATCTGATCAGCTTAGAGAGGTTCTTTTCTTTCCTCTTCTGGCCTATTTGTAAGGGACATCCTTGGTCATATACTGGTTTCAGCTTTCCTCTATTCATACTTATTTTTTATCTCAACGATCCTCTCTGCTGCATATTAAACAAAGGACAAACATGTTAATAGTATCAGCAGATACTGAGCGGATATTTAAGATGATTAAAAAGATATGCACACCTGGCCCCTCACATTAACCTATATCAGAGTGTTCCATAACAAAATACACTATAAAATAAGGTTACCAAGCCAGAAACTAATTTACCAAGTATTTAGATCAGATACCCATCTGTAATTCATATCAAGTCAAAATTCAGTGCAGTAAGCTGAAGCCAGGGGAAGGAAAAAGGAAAGACAAACAACTCCATGAGGCACTAATTACCTTTTGCAATTCAAGCAGGGGAGGCAGATAAGAATGGAATTATCCCAGGTTACATTGAGAGAGAGCTTGGATTACAACCTTCTAATAAAAGCCTATAGGCTGCTATGCAGAAGAATTGAGAGAAAAGCTCTGTAATGAAGCCACAGCGATATTCTAATTTGACTGGGCAGGGAGAAGCAGGGGGAGGAGCGGGGAATTTTTGGCATTTGTCACAAAAATGTGTTTAAAACCAAGATGAGTTTCAGCTGCAAAGCATGAACCTGGAGTTCCCCAGAGCTCAGATGTTTGACTCCAAGGTTTGATTCAAGCTCATCTTATACATGAGAAGTTGAATTAACCCATTAAGATTCATCATAGCTGCTATTTTAACGCAGTTTTAGTTAACTGTGTGTAACTCAGTGTAACTGAGTATGTGTGGAGTCACTAATTTGTTTTAGATATGCACATTAAGCTCTCTCAGTAGCTTTGTGGAGTGACAGCTAGCATGACATTTGATTTCATTTTCACAATATACCCCTCACACTTTTGTTCCCTGTATCCAGATTTCTGAGTGCATTTCAGCTTATCTTATTCTTCTCATTTGTGCCTTTGCCTCATGCAAAGCAGGAGTGAAAAGCAAAATACAAGCAACAGGGTTGATGTGCTGAAGAACAGAAAGTCGTATCTAGAAATGTCTGGAGAGGAACATGGAGAAGATGCAGCAGGAAATACCCAGAGCAGTATTTCTCTTCACTGCGTACTCAACCAGACAGTTAGAGGGACTCCTGAGCCTGGGGAGGCTGCTGATCCCAGCTGAACCCAATGCCATTCAGAACCTCAGCTCCACTCCAGCCATTACAGAGATCAGTGGGATTGCTAATAAAGCTGCTGCCCTCAGTTAAAAACACTGCATACTCTGTATTCACAGAGAAGAAATACAGACTACGCATCTGAAGTATTCTGAATAAAGTAACTACTTCTTGTTTGATGCTATGGTATTAAAATCTCTCTCCAGGTAACCATATAACAGCCTATGGTTCTTCTTTCAAGTAATGGTGGACAGATCCATCTATACTCTGAATTGTTATGAATCACAAAGGCCTAGAGCCAAGGACTTCTCTTCCTTTAGACGTACCAGAGACGCAGGTCAAGACCCTACTCCAAACATGGGGCACGCATATAGGTCAAGACATGCCTTCCACATCTTCCCATGTAATAAGCAGGAGCTTTGGCACTTATAAATACTACCTGTACCTACCTGTAGCTAATCATTCCTTTTTCCATTTTGCCATTTTTTTCCTTTCATTTTGAACTTCTCCTGACTCTTAGATGTTCTCAGGGTTGGCACATATGGCAAAGCACATGGCCTAATCCTCCTCCTGCTACCCCATGATGGGGTTTCACTTCTGCAACTGGTGCCAAATGTTCTTATGAATACTAGATCATCCCTTTCAACACCTGTGACCCAGCTGCTGGTGGTCATTTACTCCGCACACTTCTAAACCCTGAAAACGTCACCTAAACAACCTGCTGCTGAAGAAAACAGCATTACCCATGTGGGTGCAACTGCCCAGGGTCAACAGAGACCATAGGATAATTCAAGTTGGAAGAAGCATGGCAGTCCCTCAGTCAGTTGGGCCACCCCCATCTCAGCACCAGGACACTCAGCATCTCTTACCAGGAGCTGTCAGTTACGACACAAGTACCACACTAGTGCAGATATAATCACATCCTGCAGATACAGCTTATCTCTTGCAGTCAGGTTCTGGTAAGTGTTACAAGGATCCTTTGTATTATCCCTCACCGTCTCCCTACATGGCCACAAGGGTAGGTTTCAAGGCCAAGGCTGTAAGCCAGTCTAAGAAGTCACTGAAACAGAAGTAAAGTCCTGGGCGCTGATACCACCTTACTCATGGGCTGAAAGCTCTACAAGCACATACCTCATTACCAAAGAGGATGGTTAAAGCTGTCAGTTCAGGCTTCTCTGACACCACCAGTGTAGTAGCCTTGATTTCTATTACAAGCAGAGGAGCCTCAGAGAACTGGGAAATGGCCGCATCTGAAGATCTCATTCCTACTTGTCCAAGGATGCATAGCTCCATCAAGGTATTCATGGCAGCTGTTTCTGCACAGCACTGTTCTGTTTGAGGACTCTCTGGTGTTTTCTCATTTTGGTTTTCAGGGTCTGCATAAGTTGCTTCCACCAGCAAGGGATGTTATATCACCTTGACATCTGAATCTGATTTTTTCATCTCCTCATCAGATACTATGCAGTCATAGAGGTATTCAGGAATGCTACTCTATTTGTAGAGCTGTATCAAGCTCAATGTTTGTACAACTGTCTTTATAACTCACCTCTTGGTAATAATGAGTTGTGGCACACTGCCTTAAGTATTCTGGAGAACGTGTAGACATGTGGATCATCTCCTGGAAAAAGAAAAGAAGGCTAGTTACCAGTAACTTTGAATTCTTTGAGGTATGCCATCTACATGTTTGTTCACTTCCCACCTCCTTCATCTTACCCACCACCCCCATCTGCTTGGATCACATGTTCAGAATTGCTGAGGGCAAGGAATTTCTCTCTTGGCCCATGTGCATACTCTCAGTGGGAGCAGAACATTAATCTACAGCCACAGCTACTGCTAAGGAAAAAACTCGCGTGCTATGCCCTCCTGACTCACAATCACACAGAAAGACCAGACACAGATCACATATCCTAAAAAAAAATCTGGTTATTGAAAAGTGGCCTTGCTTGTTCTCAGGGTATTAAGTTGACTTTTTTATGATTTACTATGTACAAGGTTGCTTGGGGAGTCTCAAGTTTAATTGAATGTATCGATTCCTTTCCTTTTCTATAGCTTCTCCTCCCTATTACAGGGAGGAGAAGCTATACAAAATTTTTCAGGGTTGCCATGTTGCCATAGTCTTTTTAACTTTGTCCTGCTTTGCTGAAAATTTCACAAATGTTGAAAGCTTCCTAGCAAAGCTGAGTTCCACCAGATATTCCTGATTAAAACATCCAGGTAAGCACAGATTTCGAAGAAAACAGAAATATTACATCTGGATTTACTCCAAGGCCTTTTTGCAATGGGCTAGTGAATTTTGGGAGCAGGAGCTATAATCAAAAAGTAGAGTGAAAAGTCGGTAGTATCGTTGACTGTGATAAACATGCTTACAATTCTTACACCTTTGCATTACAAATATTTTTAAGTATTATTCCCACTAAAACTCTGTTTTGGGAACCTCAGGAAGTCTTTATGAGTAAAACTAGAGTCTCACTTTTTGATTACTGAATAACTGATGCAATCATAGGAAAACAATTCCCCCACGCGTCTCCTTTAGCTTAGTAAGGTATTGGTCTGTCATTTGCCAGACTTTCAACTTCCAACTCCTCCTTTTAACATGTGTTATACTTTGGGAAGTATAATTGAGAATATGCTCCAGAGAAACCATCTTGGCATACAGTAGCGTACTGAAAAGCTACTCAAGTTTCTAAGAAATTCAGAGTAAAACGGCATTTTTGAACAAAGAACAACGTGGTGAGACAGGCCCTCATGATTACCTCTTCTTAGGTATTATCTAGCCATAACTTCCCCCTTTCCATCCATCCTTGGCAAGACAGCACAGTAAATCCAGGCCTACAGCAAATCTTCTGAGCTTCAGACGTTTTCCCAGAGAAGCGACATAGCAATCTGGCTGAGACACATAAAAGTTTGAGTAGTTTTAGGGTCTTTGCATTCCAAGACAAATAAAACAGCAAACTCTTACACACACACCTGCTGTGCTCAATTGCTGGCAAATTATCAGGTCTCTCCTTCTGCGGGAAGACTTTGATAAATAGCAGTTTTCCTTGGACTCTAGCTCTTCTGCAGGGAGAGGGTAAATATCTCTTCAACCTCTCAGCCTAGCTGCCAGGAGCAATGACCTCTAGGTCTATCCTGGAAGCCTGAGTGCTTCTTCAGATGTCACAGAGAAGGGTTGATTAGGCCCCTCAGCCAATTAACCAGTGTGAAATTCATTCTTCTTGTCATATCTTGGCACTCATTAACTATATTCTGAACAATAAACTAATATAGTATTAACAGCAGCTCCAAGAAAGCCAGAAGAAAAGTAGATAACGCAAGGTTATAGTTTGCTGCCTAGACAGGGTTTAGTTCGCAGCTTATATGTGCTGTTGAAGAGTAAATGGATTTTAGTTGTATCAGAGCTTTCTCCCTTGCTGTAAGCAGGAAGAATGCACACCTATTAGAAAACAGGACATACATTTCCTCAGGAAAAAAATGCTTACTGCTGACATATCCTTAAAACATTGGTTACTTCTTTGTAAATACCACCGTCAATAATATTTGCAACCGATTTTGCTAGTTGATCTTCATCTTCTTATGGGATCTATTCTCTATTCGGAAAGTAACCAATGGAGTAACAAATGGAGTCTTCATTTTAATGCCTATTTTCGGTGTCTTCCTCCTTATTAAAAAATAAAAGAAATTCTTGCATTGAGATGTGATTTGGAAAGAAATATTTTGTTTCTTTTCTGGACAACCTTTTAATCTCTTTTTTGAAACTGTCAGTTTTGAAACAAATGGTTGAACTCTTTCATTTTGAAAATACTGAAAACAGATTTTGATCTCTAAGTTTTTTCATTTTCTTCCTTTTTCACTAATAAACACTATTTAGTGAATACAGAGAATCCTCTGTCCAAAACAGTAAATTTCTCCCCAAACACAAGTCCTTGTGGAACTGTTGCCTATGTATAAACTTACTCCGTGCATGCTTTTATGTAATATCAGCCTCTCGCTAGACCATTTGATTGATTCTCCCCAGTTCATATAGTTCCCATGTCAGAGGCTTATCAGTAATCTTTCAGTGCTGGAAGGCTATTTCAGTTCTTTGATGAACATGTGAAGTTACTTTTACAGCATAGCAAAGCGTGCTGGAATTTTCTTCCTTTTCATTTTATAGACTAGAATTAATCAATGTAACTTATTGCTGACCAGCACGTTACATACTCTGCATCCTTCAAACAAGTCTTCCTTGCTGGAGAAGGTAAATGCTGTTTTCTCCTCTTCTATTCACCTTATGTAAACTACTGCTTTTCTTTTCACCCTCATAGTTTTGTAATGCAAAGTCAAAGAGGGATCTACATTTTGAGTTTTCTAACCAAGAGGGGACAATCTTCTCACCTGAAGTTAACTTGTTACCAGTAAATTCAAATGCGCACAGCAAAGCGTGCGTTACTCATCCTTGAAAGCTAATTACATCAAAAAAATCACAGTTTATGTCAAGGACAAGAGCAGTTGTGAAGGACTGTCACAAAGCTGGCATAGACAGTTTAACATGTTTCATTCTTATGAAGAAATAGATCATACACTACAAAATCATCTGTATGCTTCACTGGCAACTTTCCTGGCAGAATAGGTAACAAACATGAGTTATGAGATTAAATAGAGACTGGCACCATCATCTACTTTCCTTTACTGCACAGCCAAATTAAATTTTGTGCTGTTGACCCTTGCAGCCAAAATAAATGTACTGCTGGGCCAAAGTTGGCTGGCAACTCCAGTTTGCTTAGCTTTGCCGAGGTTAAGGATGCTTGCAGTATTGCAGAGGCGTTGCCTGCAAGTCCCCAGGGCAAATGCCTTTTGCAGAGGCATGCTTGAGTGACACAGTATACTCAGCATCAAAGCAAACATCACAAAGCAACTAGAAAAGACATATATGGAAGAAGGAGAGCAGATCTAGACCCTGAGAAGAGACACCTGTTTCTCTTGTGCCCTTCCAGCGTCTGTGGTGTCCTCTCTGTCCTCTCCCTGTAGCAACCCAAAGCTGGATGCAGTAAAGTTAAAAGATATGGGAAAGAGAATAACAGACAGTACAGTGTTTGATAATTTTCTCAGCTATCTTTGTGTTTTCCTTAAATGCCATCTTTTCCCTTAAAGGGAAGAAGCCACCTAACAGAATTTGATGCTCACATGTAGTTTCCAGATTTCACATCTGCAACAGAGCTCATGTTCTCACAGTGCTCGGTCTTACTTTGTGAGAATTCATGCCCCTTGGTCAATGCAGCTTTCATGAATCATATTGCATTGCTTTCATGTGCTTCTTGTCTGAAAGCAGATGAGCATGAGCCCCAAACCAAACTCAATTTTCAAGCAGGCCATTTAAATTCATGATAAGCAGCTTGCTTAAGCTCTGCCTCAACCAATTCAGGAGGGCTTCAAAAAGCTGGAGCCACCTGTGTTTTAGGTAGCCAAATAATAAAGCCTCTCTGGTACTTTCCAGTCACGACAGGAGCGGCAAAAAGAGAATCAGACCAAGACCAAGGATATCTCATTATGCTGTTGCCCCTCTCTAGCCTAGTTTAATTCTTCATTTCCCACTACCTAAACTATCAGGTTAGGTTATAACATTCTGCCATGTGATACTTCTGCAATCACAGTTAGACACAGCATTCTTCCTTTTTCTCTCCAGTTATTTTACAACAGCAATTCCCTTTTGGCTGTGGGTAGGATGAGTATATGAAAAATTCTTCAGATGCTAGAGGTTCTTTAGGGTGGGGGACTAGAAATAAAGTAATATTGGGATGCCCTGAGAATCACTGCCTTGGCTTCTTTGAAAAAGGCAGCACTTTCTTTGGATTGCAATTACAAGGTAGTCAAAACATATAATGGGCAACAGTACAGCACACAGCTGCAACTCATTCAGAGAGTGCTCTTCCTTTCCCTGGAGCTAATGTGGTGGAGAAACTGTTCCATCACTGTTTTTGGATTGGTGTGCTGTAATGCCCTTTTCTATTTTGATCAAGTTTATTGCCACAGAGGTAAATTATTGTCTGAGTTATTTCACATGTCTAATTTATACAGCACATGTTGAACCATGTCTTTGTTTAGTGCTCCAGGATGCAGAAGCTTAGCTACAGCCCTGAGTATTACATTAGTTGCCCTACTAATTCTTTTGCTCAAAAAGAGCTCATATCTTGTCTGATGCATGCTTGCCTTGAATAGCAATGTCCTTGGAATTAGATAAGAAGGGGTAACACATGTTGTTCCTACTTCTTTTCTATGCTTTGTGTTTTATTTTGAAGAGGTACAATTATTTCTTTATATGGTTCTGTGTAGAGACTAAAATGTGTCACCCATTCTATTTGCTTTCCTTGATGACAGAAATAACTCTTGAATATCTGTTTTTGTGAGAAAGTATTGGGAACAATGGGACAGATGTGGCTTTGAACTGTCAGTCAGTTACAGCACAATCAGGTCTAGTGGCTGCCTCCTTTTCGTTTTCCTTACGTGTAATGCCTAGCTATCTCCCATGTTCTGGCAGTATAACCAGGACACCACTCCCTGAATGCGTTATGCTTGGCCTCAGTACCATCGGTAGCAATGCCCCAGCCAGATTTTCTACTAGTTCTGAATGATGGCTCTAAAAAAAGTGGACATCCAGCATGAGCACATGAACCACAGGATCAATAGCCTAATAAAAGAAGCGACATTACAAACGTCTTCGTAAGGTCTAGATACCGGTGATAAATAGTCACACCAGGTTTATGCCGGTTATACAGTGAAGCCAGTGATCATGGGTACAGCTCCTAGAACTCCTGGAGCCCCTACCCGTGAAGTACACACTCTTCCCACTCACAGCCAGCAAAACCCCCCTGAATAACTATATTTATATTATTGTTGCAGCTATTAGTAACATATTACAGTCACTGAGTTTAATAGTGATCTGCAGGAAAAGACAAACTGTAAGGCAAGGAGCTCCATACTACATACCTTACAGCAAGCCTTTGAAGGCTGTCGTTGGACAAGGCAGAGTCATCACCTCCAAGGAGACTGGCTCAACATCCTGTTAAACTGGTTTCCTGGAGCAGGGCAAAAATGCAAGAAAGCACAAAACAAAGGAACTTCCACTGTATAGAAAGATGACTCTCTCTTCTGGGGTTTGAAAGAGATTCAAGCAAACACAGACTGGCACGAGCTCCCACTGCATCAACATAAGATATGGCCTGCCTAAATTATTGTTAGAGAAAGGCAGGCTGTGAGGCAGTAGTACTGCCCTAGACCGTTTTAAAACGCACTTCTCCAAAAACTTCACTGCACCTATAATGAGTGAGCAGTGATTTATTTTCAAGGAGGCTACCTGGTGATTCTCTGTTCGCCAAACCCTTGGCTGGTGCCACGCCTGGTCAGATCTCCTGGACAAGCACAACAAATGCTCATGGACGCTGCCTCAAGGGGACAGACAAAAGTGGTCAGACACTAGGGCTGAAGCAGAAGCAGAAGGGTTCATAACAGCGACCAGCCATGAGGTAAACTGAGAAGATGGCAGGGATATGCGTGAACCGGTCAGTGCAATACTCAATTGTGTCACTAGTGATCACTGTAGCAGGGGAAAGGGAAAATCACTGCGGGGAAATAAATGTAGACAACAGACAAAGAGAAACTTACAATCAAGGACAGAAGGAAACAAAGTAAGTGGGAGAAAAAAAATTAAAAACAAAAAAAAAAGAAAGAAAGGCCCAGAGGGGGAACCTCATTTCCCTTGAACGACAGATAGTAATAGTAATTACATTCCTGATCTTGTTTACCCAATGTTCTTGTTCACCTCTGCACATTTCCTGTGGACAAAGGCAGGAATCTGACCAGGATCTGAAAGGAACCAGGAACTCCATGGTTCTTCAGCGCAAGCTTGAAACTGTACGAGCCATACTGTCAGCTAGATCTTGCTATCAATAATATTCAGCTGTTCTAAAATCATTCCTCACTAAGTGAATCTCTGTTCAAAGCTAACATGCTTTAAGTGGAATAAACCTATGTGCTTACATTATCTTGCCCAGTTGGGTAATGTGTTTGGCAGCAGGGCAGCATATGGATCGCACTTTGGATTCTTTCACTTCTCTGTGGCCTGATGATGCTGAACAAACATCCTGACTTTTTATCTGGTAGAGCTTTGTTGCGGACATCAGGATCTCGGCCAAGTGCAGGGATTGCATACTTCTTTATATTATCCTAACATAGACATACACATTCACAACCCCTTTGCACTGTTTCTCATGACCAGAAATGCTGTAGTGAGAAAGCCTTACCTTGAAATCAGTAGGAGGTCTGAGATTAAGGGGAAAAGATATGCCCCACCACACACACGCACGCACGCACACACACACAGAGCAGATGATGATGGAGAGTGAGCCTGAGAGAAGGATTATTTAGTAAGAGAGGATTCTGGCTTAGAAGACCTGGACTCAATTCACTGATCGTTTACTCAGTTCCTGTGGACTAATCTGACATTCTGTGTCCTCCTTAAAACATAAGGAAAGCACTGTTTCCCTGCCTCACTGGATGTTTGCAAGGGTGTGATCAGGCACAACACTACATAAAGCCACATGGACAGAGTCTCAGTATGTGGTGAAGAGACACTAATTGATCAGTGAATCTGAGAATTGTACAATACCACCAAGCTGCAGGTTCAATATTCTGTTTGTTCTTCCATGGCTTTTCTTTTTTGGAATAAAGGTGCCCATTAAACCAATGATACAAATATTCTCTTCCTTGTAGGTCAGATGTACTGATCATTTTAGCATCTAAAATTAGACTAAAGCAGCAGAACATGTTCTTAAACTAGAACATAAAACTCCATCAGCTGTCACTCACTAAAAATAAATAAATAAAATTTCAAAATTGATTTTTAATTACCTAGAAAAACTAAGTAGTTTACTGGCACTTACAATACAGCGTATGGTAAATGAAAGTCTATTAGCAACAAACGTCTCTTTACATTTTCCATTGGAGTGTGGTATATTAGTTGTGCAGCAATCCTGGAAAAAGCCAGATGCAAGGAAATCACAAAAGGCCAATGTGAAGACACATCAGATTTAAGAGAGTTCCAGTAGTTGTGCCTTAATGTGAGATTACCCATGCACTTGCTGAGTTCAGTAGCAAAACTGTCTCCAAATTCAATGACAGCAGGACTGAATTCCCAGAACAGTCCTGATAGTGAAAGCTCATCAACAAGCCCAACAAGGACATGATAAAAATAACAGCATAGGCCACTAAATTTACTGTTTAGTTCTGGCCCAGTCCATGAGGACCACAGCTACAGAAAGCGAGCTCCCCGTGGAGTCCTTTCTCTTCATTCTTAGCACGGCATGGCAAGAGCGGTAAGTAAGCTCACCGCCTTACTGTGCTGCTAGAGGTCACTGGTGGAGACCAAGAGCGGTGTGCTCGTCAAGCAACAAAAGCAATTTACCATGTAGAAGCAATGGAGTATGTTTGTCTAGGCAACACTCCTAATGCAAATTAAAATGTATACACATCATTCAGATCTGAAATTAAAAAGCCACATAGGAATGCAGTCTATCATTATATTGATTTGTTACTCTGGAGAATATATTCCCATTCATAAAAAAAGTCTTCAGCTCTTCAGCATGCATAAATATTATGTAATACCCTCAAGAGGAAAATCCTGTCTTCTCAGAAACAGGTTGAAGTACTTAAGGATGCAGAAATGGAATAACTTTACAAAAATCTTTCTACAATAGTCTATCTTTTAACCTGCAGTAAAGCAGGATATTTGGATATTTGGAGCAATTTATTCTTGTGATATAGAAATAATTTACTAATTCTAAGCATGTGGTCATATTAGCCGCCTTCAAAACTGCATGATCAATTGGAATTGGTCAACCCCCAATTCCTGTAGCAAGTTGTTTTATACACTGAAGAAGCTAGTAGGAATTCCAACATTATGTAAGCAGATCACATAATACAGCCATTATGGTCCTCAAGGAAGTCTTGCAAACAAGGTCTGGTCTTTGCTTAAACACCATTTTTTCCTAAGTATCTTGGTTCAGCTCAGTCAGTGTGCTGGCTGGCCTACTTTACCTGCGTGTTATCTGGGCCCTTAGATCTAATTTATCAATCCTTGGCAATATGACGGGGGGGAAATCAGTTTACTAAAGGGGAGAATCTCATCTTTAGCCTCTTATAAATACCCAAATTTTAATGGTGGTCATGTTAGAAACTCCTAAATGGTTCAAGCTATTCACAGACCTTAAAAACTGCTTTTATATAGAAAGCTGTATTTTGGAAACTGGTTAGCCAGCTTTAACTATGAATTAGTTTGATGTTGCTGTTTTTCCTCCAGAGCATTCACCTCTGGGGCAAGAATGTTGTATGGTTGTTTCTGCTTTCAAATCCACATGTTTGATAAGAGACGGTGTATGGAAGCGGATTTTCTTTATGATAATACCATGGTGAGCCACCTTTTCACCCCATCCCCAGGGCAGCTAAGCTCATGCTGAGAGCTAATGCTCATCCTGCAAGCATATCAGCATGCTGCAGTGAAAGAGAAAACATAGATTTTGTTTTCTCATTTCATAAACATAGAAGTTCTTGTCTGTACGCACCAAGGGGAAGCAAGAATAATTTTCTTCCAGCCAGCACCACATAAAATTTGTTAGCTCCCGACAAAAATTAGGGCCCAAACAACCCCACCACGGCTTATTTCCAGTGCTGCAGGTGCAGCACTAGCCAGTCAGTAGAACACAAGGCATTATAAATATTCTGCTGAACTAAAACAGGGCAGTGGAAGTCTGTAAAATATATATAGTTAATGTAGTCAAGCTCTTCCAAATAGCAATGCATTGTTTAAGCAACTTTACTTTAAGCCCTTGGCTGCGACTTCCCATGAAATATTAAACCAATGCTTTATTAAATAAGAAAAAAAATCTGTTGGTCTAAAATTGCATTTTTTTTTTCTGCAAGATGCTTCAGATCCCTGTGTTTGACCTTCTCTAGCTACTCAAAAAATCCTTATATTTTAGCTTTCATAGTCTGACCTTTCTTATTGTCAGTTGCTTGCTTGTTAACACTGCCTGTACCACCCAAAGGCCTCCCAGGACAAGTAAGTATTAAATTAAAATTTAAAGGACTCACAGAGAAGAGAGGCTTTGGCTTACATTGTATGAATTTCTGTTGCACCCTCAAAGGATGTGTCATATTAGTTCCCTCACCTCTCATCAGCTTTTCTGCACCAAAATCCATAGGTAGAAGCCATTTACCTTGGGATACATCCGTCACATTGTTTCTTGAAGTCTAAGCAGTTCTTGCATGAAATAGACTTGACGTGTCCTGTCATGAAATAATCTGATATTTATCCTGTGCAGGAGGGAAGGAAAGATAGGAAAGGCTGCTATTGATCTCTGTGTTTCATAGGCACAATGTTATCTCCTGCCTGGGCCAGAACACTTGGGTTGGTTTGCTCAGGATAGCAATTTCTGCATTCCTATTATCCTATCTGAGGACATTTGTAATCTGCTACTATACAGTAGAAGTCTTATATTGATATCAGAATACAAAAGGCACTATATATTTGAAGAACAAAAATGAGACTGAATGTGAATGGATATAAGAAGACATAAATTTAGGAAAGTCCTTTATATCCCTTCTAACAGTTCTAAGCAAAATTATTTTTACCCCTTAGGAGTGCAAGTGCTATCTATCCTATATGCTATATAACTCAATCGCCTGGAGGGTAATTTGGGTTTACGGAGTTTGCTAACATCTTGGAACGGGTATCACATCTACATTTAAACTATATAAACATTCAGATGTGCTTACCTCTTGAGTAACAGCTGAATCTGCTGTTTGTTCACCTAATGGCTGCTCCCTGTCTGTAGCAAAAAACAAATCGTTGGTAGCTTTAGTGCAACTAGAACAACTTAGAAGTTGTGATTTGCTTTCTGAGAGCAACACATGGGAAAAGACAATATCTATTAAAGAAGCAAATACAGCTATTTAGATTTAATACACATAGAATATATATTGCCATTTACCATACTGTGGGGGAATTTGGAACATATAGCATGACAAAAGGAAATAAGGTGTTATTTTAGGGCACTATTGGCACAATTCGAATTTCTGACACTCTTGTAGGTACAATTGCATTTTTTAGTGTAACTATATCCAATACTATACAAGTTAACACTGTTAGAATTTTTTCCTAAAATATTGTATTAGATTTCTGAAAGAAATTGAGAGTGAAGAGACATGAAGGAAATAATTTTCCAGCAAATTAAAGTGCAAGTAATGTGAAATATTGATCTGAAACCATAAGTCCCTGGGAATCTTATTTAAAAAAAGCTTCCTGAACTGGACAGCACATCCTTTCATATAAAGTAGTACAATCCTCTATATGATACCTGGTCTCATCAACTCCAGTCAGGTTTATTATTAATTACTTCTTACAGATGTAGCAGTAGCTGGGAAAGCTAAATGGAGTGATATAGCTGGTAGAATTTTCCTTCATATTAATCCCTTTTACGTTTGAATTAAGGCCAGAGGCTATGGAAGTTAATTCTATGCTGGCCATGCTAGAACTGTAATAACCTGTGAAAACTGCAGCCTTGACAAAGAGAATTAATCACTGCTTGCATGTATGGGCTTGTGAAATCAAGCAAAGGTTTACATCAGTAGGAAATGCATTTTTCTTATGCTGATTGAGCATGAGTGAATCTACGTGCTCACTGGTTGTCTTGGCTCCATGAAATAGGGATTAAAAAATAAACCTTTTTACCACCTTTCCAGAAGAAGGTGGACTTGCCTAAGGCACTTGAAATACAACATTGAAAGATCTACTTGTGTAGGATTAAATGCAGGAAGACAGAGTTCATAAAACCAGGCTGTTACTAAGACTGTGTAGTGCAAATGAAGGGTGGCAGCAAGGCTGGCTGTGTAGTCACTCCCAACATGCAGCTAGGTGCCTGCCCCAACTTGAGGCATTATATTCAGTGCAGCGACTGTCTAGCGTCAGAGAAGATTGTTTAATGCCACTAGATGGTGATCCAGGAAGCTCACAATATATACAGGGAGATAGCTACTGAAAAACCCTAAATGTAGGTCTGGATCCTTATCTGTCTGGCATTTGCAGAGGATCCTCTGCACAATCCTGATCCAGAGCATGCAGTTCATCAGGGTAGGTGTCTAGCTGAACAGCAAAACCAATGGACAGAGACATTCATGTTTCTTCTAAGACACTAGCAGTTAACAGTACCCACCAGGGGACCTGGATTCAGCTCCTACTCACAGATTCAAGCCACTCTCTCTGATTTCCAAGTCACATGCATTCATCCACCAACTCGCTGAGCAATCCAGCTTTGGGTGGGTTCCCTCGGGGTGGAAATCAAACTGTTGTGCAGCCAGTAGGATCTGTGGGGACAGAGGAGACTGAGCAAAAAGGAGGCTGCCTCTGTAGCATGGTAGTGAGAGCAGTTAGTTGGAGCGAAGTCTTTGGGAACCTGGCCTGAGCTCTCACTGCTTGCATGGTTGTATATGTTTAACTCATTTTATTCTAGACAGTCAAACACTGAATGAAAATAATTTCAGGCAGCAAGCAGCACACTGCTTCAAATCTACAGTCTTTGCTTGTTTTGCTCTCCTTCTAGGCTATGGTTTACACCCTCGGCTGTACGTTGGCCAAAAGGAGCCTCGAGGTTAGGGCACTCCTTTAGGATCTGTGGGATGCAGGACTAAATCCCTTTGTACTGAGACAGGAAGTTACACAGATATCTCTATTCTTAGCTACATGCTCAAATTATTACACAATTACATAACAAATAGGAAATAGAACTCTGAGTTCTTTTTGTAGGAAAAACAGCTGCGGTTGCTGTGCTTTCTTCTGACTTCTTATGAATTAACTTCTTCCTGCATACACATTAAGTGTATTCAGAGACTTTGACAGTAGTGCCACGTCTCTCTTGTGCTGGGGAGCCCAGAACTGGACACAGTACTCCAGGTGAGGCCTCCCCAGGGATGAGGAGAGGGGCAGGATCACCTCCCTCGACCAGCTGGCAACACCCTGCCTAATGCACCCCAGGAGACCATTGGCCTTCTTGGCCACAAGGGCACACTGCTGCCTCATGTTTAACTTGGTGTCCACCAGCACTCCCAGGTCCTTCTCTGCAGAAGAGAAGGTCAACCCCCCTGCCTGTACTGCTGCATGGGGTTATTCCTCCCTAGGGGCAGGACCCTGCACTTGCCTTTGTTGAACTTCAGGAGGTTCCTCTCTGCCCACCTCTCCAGCCTGCCAGGTCCCTCGGAATGGCAGCACAGTCATCTGGTGGGTCAGCCACTACCCCCAGGTTAGTATCATCAGCCAACCTGCTG